AAGACTTTTTGAGAAGAAAATACATTTTATTATTGGAAAATTAACCCCAGCAGTTTTGTTTTAGGAATGTTATAAGTATAAACTTCAAAGCAAAATAGTACATTTTTATTTCAATTTAAACTTTTTTGCAGTATTTTACTTTAGGAAAACTGAAGTTAAATATAAACACACCTGCCGGCGATAAAAAATTAAAGTGAATTTTGCAGCAGATCACTGGACCGTATCCACCCACCGGCGCCAATGGGATTGGGCCCATCGGAATCAAGATAAATCCATCAGGCGAGAAACAGTGTTTTGTGCCCAAGTTATCCTTGCTGGCTTTTCCACCGATTTCGCCAGACAATGGCGTCTGCGAGGAAATTAATTTTAATTGCCGGAGGTGCGTGCGCAGAGCGCATTGCAATAATTGGCAAAAGCCAGGTCCTGTCGCAGGACACCAGACAAAGAAAGATGACACTTGAGACGCGGGGACTTGGACTCCGGACTTCACTTCCCGCAGTTGGACATAATTTACGGGTGCAGTGGACGGTCGTCGAATGGAACTTTGCTAAATAATTTAAAAACTTTCTTGCACTCGCTGCATAATTGAATTAGCGGCAGCGGCGGCGGTGACGGTGACGGTGCTCAAAACAAGTGTCAAAGCGGAAACGGAAGCCGGCGGTCCGAGAAGATTTCAATAAGAATTTGATTTAGCCCGACCAGCCAAAGGAAAAAGAAACCACTAGCAGGGGGCGTGGCCCGGCGCAATCGGGGCTAACCACAAGGTTTTTCAAACTTTACTCATTTTCAAAATTACAATGTTGCCGCAAGCGTGCCGTTCACCGCAGCAGCTGCTGGAAAATAGCTAGAAAAATCTAAACGTAAGCAAAGTCAATGGGCGAAGTTGGCAACGCGGCGGCATCTTCTTTGATGATGACAAAGCGGCAGGAGATAACGGGCCAAAGGATGCCAAGCCACTCCCTCAACCTCTTCCCCCCATTTCCCTGCACTCGCAGAAAAATGTGAAACTGAATTTTTAAATTAAGTATTTAACTTTTTGTAGCATTTTCTAACAATTTAATATGGAAAGTGATTTAATGGGAATATTAAGTGGTATTGGCTGGGCTGAACTATTTACTTTCGGACTTTACATTACGTCTTTACTTTATATTTACTAATTTTTATGATAATGGTTAAAATAGCCTGTCTTTATCAAAAAAATTATATGAAAAATGCCGGAGACATTTTTCTTTAGAATTCGATAAACAGAGTAACAACAAATTACAAATCCATCATAAAATTTGTAAAAATTAAAAAATGCATTTTTGCAAGTGTGCTCATTTCTTTGCAAGTTCCTTCAGTTTTCTTGCAGCTGTTCGTCCTTAGCAGACATTTTTCTGCTGGTAAAAGTTTTGTTGGCTCAACCACTTGACGCTCGGTTACCTCAGCTTCCTTCTTGCCGGAAAACTGCCTTTGAACAGAAAAATATTGCACGCATTTTCCCGGAAAGCAACGTGGCATGGAAAACGAAGAATGAGGACGAGGATACGAGGCTTCGAGAACGACGACGAAGGAAGGATTCCTTCTTGGAGCTGCGGATGCTGCGGTAAATCAATTTCTGCAAATGAGATTTTTCAATTATAAATCAATTTTCGATTAAAATTACTTTTACGCATCTTCCTTTCAAGTTCCACAGCCCCATTCTTTCTCAGCGCCTCGGCATTGCCTTTCTGAGTATGTTGTTGTGTGGTGAAAAGTTTCTGACACATACAAGGATCTCCCGGTGGCAGGAGTAAAAAACATATAACGTTTATGTACAAAAGTAAGAAATTTCCTTTAAATTAATAAGTATTTTAATTTATGGAGTGCAACATATAACCAAAGTGTAATTTTTGTTTATGACTGTTTATGACTGAAAATTAATTAATAAAAGTCCTAGTACGTTAATTTATGTTAAGGTTTTAATTGATCAAAAAAAAATAATAAGGCTTAAAGCTATAGATACAATGCTGAAACCTATTAGAAAGTAGAGAGTCGAGCGATTAGTTAACACATCAATCAGATGCTGATTGATTTGTTAATTGAAATCGCTTTTTAAGGCATGTACTGTTAAAAATGTGAAAACTTTTCTCTTCCAGGCCAACAAGCACTCCACTTTTCATTGGAGATGGTAGGCGTAGACCAAGAGCAGTTAAGTCTCGATAAAAACAGAAGAGCCTGAAATTGACACTGAGACTGAGACTGAGACATTCGCAACCGTGGCGAGCTGAGACATTTGATCCGACTGGAGGTTTTGATGAGCGGAGCCAGGACGATAAACTGAAGTCAAGAATGCAGTTCGCTTTATTTGCGACTCTTAATTAAATTGTGAATTATGGCCTTCGATTTGCCAATCGCCATAAAGGCCACAAAAATATGAGTCGCAGTCGCGGTCGCTGGCGATGGCGATGGTCGATGAGTCGATGCGACGATGAGGAAAAGCCGGCCACAAACTTTTGCCGGCCATAAACGTGGCAATGGGGCTGGCATAAAATTTAACGATGGCCAATGCAGCTCCAGTGCGGCAATCCCGGCAACACCGACCATCCATCCATCCATCCATCCAACAGAGTGAGTCGACACCGATCGATATTAAATTATAAATGAATGAATGAAGTTTTATGACACGGCCCCAGTGGAGGCTGAAACTCGAACTCCAACTCGAACTCGAACTTGGACTTGGACTTGACTTGTCGCCAAGGCTGCTGGCTGGCGCGTTTGATGGATCGCAAGTGGTTCCACCCCGTATTCCAGATCCCGATCCCGATCCCGATCCCCGACCTTATGCTGAGTTATGAGCATCGGGCGAAAGATAATGATCCCGTTCGATTTTCATTTTGATCGCAAATGCAGCGGCAGAGACACGGCCAATAAATCGCCGCATGTGGCACAAGCCGACATTCGTCATAAAGTGGACGAAATAGGCCAGAACTTGTGTTTGGGGTCCCCGGCAATTAATAAATATCTGGCTAGTCGGACATAAATCTGTAACTCGCTCGAGATTTTTATGTGGGTGCTAAACTCTCGGCTATCTGGAGTTTAAGATCTCGTACAGGAAAAGCATAATATCATTTACAGCTCGCTGTTCCATTACTACTGAATTACATACCTTGCAGCCGAAAAGAAATCAGAAATCATATCCGAGTTCTCCGAAGTTTTCAATATTATCATTTATATTTAATTAAATTTGTTGATATGAACAAAATATAACATATTTTAAAGAGAGCACTATTATTAACATATTTTAAATTGGATTTTAGCTTTTTGCTTTCTATATAATTAATTACTAGTTTATTGATATGAACATAATTTTAAACCGTTATTAATAAAAGAAAACACAGTTATTAAAATATTTTAACTATGCATTTATTTCTTAGCATATAGTTAATTATTTATTTTGAAATTAAATCAATTTTATAGGCAAAACAGTTTCTTAAATATTTGAGCTTATAATTACATTTTTATGCGCATACTGTGGAAGTTAAATAAAAGACCATTAAATTATAAGCCTGAGCTATATTTTCTCTCTTCAAACTTTTTTTATCGACTTCCAAAAAAATATGTTTTGTTTTCATTAAAAAAAGTTTAAAAGTAAAGCTAACTTGTAAATATCAAATAAAAAAAACTGATTTTATAATTTTTTTTGTAAGAACATTACACCATGCTGTTTGCCATACAAGTATTCAGAAACAGTAATGATGTGTTTCATGAAAATTGTCGAATCGATCATAATAAAATACCTAATTCATTTTCTTTGTACTGGAGTTTTTACTTATGAGTGGAAAGCCAGTGATAATGATTGATTTACGTCAATAAAAGTGGGAAATAACCATAATGGTATACCACATTCCGAAAGGGTTATTCAGATGGCACACGTGCCAAAGGTCAACCGTAATGGCCACTCCCCATTTCCATCCCGAAATCGAATAAGGAACACACTTGCCCGCCGATCAATCACAATTCCTGTCTCCGTTTCGGTTTCGGTTTCTGTTTTTTTTTTTTTAAGTTATCCATTTTTTCCCGCTTCCATTTACCGTTTTTGATAAATGTCGCACGCCGCGTGTCAAATGCGTTTCCCGCTCGAAAAGAAAACTGTCGCATTTTCTTGGAATTCTGTGGTGCAGCATTCTCCCAAGGATATGCCGTTACGGGATGGAGGAGCGGTGGGGGGGGGGAGTTGTGGGGAAAGTGTCCTGGCAGCCGCTTTTGGGGCCTGTCATTGTCCCAGAGCGATTTTTTGTTGCTCCTGCTCGCCTTTTGTGTCGCGCAATGCCAGCACGTGGTTGTGGAGTGGGTGGAGTTGTGGAGGTGGTGTAGGGGAATCCCCCGAACCGGTGCAGATTTTATTTTCCTTTTTTTTTTGGTCGTCAAGCAAGCCTTTAATTTATGCAGCCCTGGGGAGGTTTTGATTTTCAGACGATTCGTGGGTGGAGCTGCGCTCAAGAATTGCCTCTAATTTGGGAATGGGGCTGTCAAGGAAAATCGGCGGGGAAAAGCGAGACTGTAATTGAGATCAGTGGGAGCAGAATCGAAGGAGAAACCCAGGATCTCATATATATAAGTCCTAAACGGAGACGGATCAAATTCAATTAGTTAGCTATTAACAGAAGTTATCTATCTGACTTATTACGCTAGCTTAAAAAATAAATCGATAATTTAATTCAAAGGTTTAGCTTAAAGATTCCGGTGCAGTTCGATTCAGAAAATTATACTAAAAAATTGTTTAATAAGTTAATAAGTCAACTTAAACAATATTTTATGAAATTAATTCTGTTTATTTATTTTATCTATTCATTCACAAAGTAAATAAAAATTCGAAAAGAGAGAAACTCCGACTAAAAATGTTAAATACGATATAATATAAGACACAACAGGTAATTTTAAATTTAATGCTTTAATTTATTTAGTTCCTTTAATAATATGTATACTAAAAACCGTCTTTTCAGCGCTTAGTTGATATCTTAGTTACAAATGGTACTGTTATTATTGCTTATATTTGTTGGTGTGGCTCTCTCATGGATAAGTGCCAAAATACCTGGTCAGTAATATTTTATTGGCTAAATTGGAATCCAGACTAATTGGTGTAATAGCCGAGTGTTATTTACCGCATAGCAGAGGAATAACGACGGCCAAAGCTTTTCTAATGTACACCTATAACAAACAAATATCTGAATGCATATCTTTCATTTACTCCGGATCTGGAGGCAATAATAATCGCTTCTGGTCGAAAAGCGACTGTGTGCACACCTGTGTGCCAAATTAAAAGTTAATATTTAAGTTCTGCTGCAGCCCTAAACATAAAACATCAATACAATCCTTAAATTTTCTTTAATGCTTTTTAAAATATTTAAATTTTTAAAATAAATATAAAATAAGTTATCAATTTTAAAACTTAATTGAGTAACGAAAGAATTTCTCTATATCCTTAAAGTTGTGCATCTACCTCGCATGAAAAACCTATTACAGAGCAATCCACAAAACCACTCACCGTTTGCCATCAATAAAAAAAATATACAAAAAATACACTGCCGTCTGTCACATTAGCACATCATTCATAAGGACATGTGCCAATGGTTTTCAAATATGTTTTCCACCAGCGGCAGGGAAAACAACGACAACAACAGCAAACACTGGGAGAACAAAAAAGGAAAACATCGATGCCGATGCCAATGACGATGACGACCTCCCAGGCGAAATCGCAGTCTCGGCGAGATTTGCGTTTGCCAAAATGTCAATAAAGAGCCGATGGACGGACAGCGGTGATATTGACATTTATTTTTATATATTTTATTTCTCGCACCCCGAAGCACAGCAGCGTTGGACCGACGTTACTTTCTTATTTGGTTTCATTTCACATGTCAGAGATGTGCTGACAAAATTTTATGCGAATTGGTTTCACATTTTGAAATAGTTTCATAAAAAGCAAATGCCAGGGGCCAGCCTCCCACTGCCCACCACCCACCACCCACAGCCCACATCCAACCTCCTCCCACCGAATGCCATTTCGATTCCCGGGGTGCCTGCCAATGCGAGTGATTTCCATTTGACATTGATGATGTTTATTTATTTCGGTGAAAATGGAAAATATACAAAATACTTATATGTGTATCTGCAATATGTGCACTGGAAAACGGAAGTGTAAGTTAAAAAATTTTAAAAGAAAACATATGAATAAATACTACATACAAAAAAATGGAAGGATTTTTTGAATAAAATAAAAAATACTATAACCCCTATACTTTTAGAAATAATAATAACATGTATTCGCATACCTATTTATAACTTGTAACTTTAAAAAGTAGTTTTTGTGGTAAGACTAAAATTTCAGCTTATTACAACCATATTTTTTTATAAACTCATCTGAAAGTCCAAAAATATTTATTAATTATAAGAAAACGGGATCCCTTAAACGTTTTATCAATATCTAACTTTTAAATGAACTGATTGAAATTGTAAAAGCATATGGTAAAGACATCAAACATCATTTTAGTTCATAGTTTAACACAATAAGTTCGCTGAAGACTACACAATTTTTTTTTTAATCAAAAACTTACATTTCACACATCTACTTCATCGATATTGACTTTTTTTCCAGTGCACAGCATACATATACTTACAAAAGCGTGCCAGTGTATTTGGGTTTATGCTTCTTGTTTGTCATGTGTGGGTAGAATGTGTTTTTGGTACTTGTATAATTTTACTTCTGCCGTTTATTATGTTTCTTTTGTTGCTGTTTTGCTTTTGTTTGAGAGTCTATTTTGAGGCCGGTAGACATTGATGCCTCTGAGACGGGGATCCTGAGTACCGCCAAATCCCGAATCCTGCGGCTTTGGGTTCGATTTCATTTTTGCACCTTGGGCGCACGACAAGTTTGACTCGAGAAACGAGATGCCCGAGATTGATGGCACCTAAAAAAAAAGAACTTGTCCACCTGCAGCGGAATTGTGAGTGGTTTTGCATGTTTTGGCACAGTAACTTTTTGTCTGGACTGGGCTTTAACTTGGCATTTTTTTGCTCCATCTGCCCTTTGTGTGGTGGCGGGGCTTGTGAAAATATTTAAACACGAAATTGCAACCAATCAAACAATTTGCCTATCAAAAGCTTCTATTTTGGCAATTTTGAGACAGACTTGTGCCAAATTTTAAGTTGCATAATTCAACAAAGGGAGCTTTTTGGCAATTTCCAAACCGAAACGAATGCCCGCTCACCTGTGTGTGTGTGTTCACAAACAGACAGGACATCATCGAGCAGCCGGCTACGCAATTACCATGAACAACAACGGTGGTGTGGGTGGTTCTGGGATGGGAAATGGGGATTGAGAGTGGGTATGCAGATGGTGTAGGGTCTGCGCTGGCAAGTCGTAAATATTCCAAATGTCATTTTGAAATCCTAATTTACGCTTCGACGATCTAAAATGCACATTTGCAGCAGGGCGCAGCCAACGCACAAAAGTCCAGCGTCCAGCGGACGCACAGCAATTTGGATTGCCCAGGACCCCGGAACCCAGGACCCCCTTCATATCCTTGCCGAAACTGCCGACCACTGGGCAATCCTAAAAAGGACCCCACGTTTGCCTCCTCCGCCTCGTCAGGATTGGCATGCCTCATCATCAGTTCGAGTTCGTTTTGCCAGCGCCATTTTGTATCGAAACATGCAATCAAAATTTTCAAATTTTCCCTCTCTGTCTGTGGGTGTGTGTGTGTGTGTGTGTGAGTGTGTGTGTGTGTGTGTGCGTGTGTAGGGGGCGGTGAGCAGGGGGGTACTCTCGGCCTGTGTACACTGGCCAAACACACACACACTCACACACGGAATGAATTACAATCAGCACACAATTCAACGAAAAATGCCGTCCAATTTCTAAAATGTGCGCCGCTGCTGCAAAAGGTTCAGATACCACTCACCGCCCACTTTTCCGACCCCTCTCCTCCCCTTTTTTTCAGCCCCATGGGGCGCGTTAGGAAAATTAGTGCATTTTCGGTGGGGAGCAGGCATAGGTATACCGTTGGTGAGGCCCAAAAACAATATGTTTTCCAAACGGCATTTCCATTTATGTTGCATGTTGTGCACACATTTCCGCAAATGCATTCGCCCCCGCCCTCTGCTTTTTCACATATTTGCGCTCCTTTCGTAACTGCAAGTTGGGGTTTCGGCTTTTTCGGGATGGCGATGGTGATGGGGTGCATCCGTATCGGGTGCATTGTCTATTCCCTTTTTGTGGGGCCCAGATTGGAACGTTTGCCGTATCGACGAACGAAACCAGAACGCTGGAGCTGCAACTTATCGGGTTGCCCAATTGATGCGGACAATCGAATGGTTAATCGGAAGTTGTTTGCCATTTCGGCAAAATTTACTGTTCAATTCAGATGGGATCGAACCCTAGAATTGGAAACAACTCTTCGGAGTTTAAAATGTATCCCATGTCATTCTTAGATCGGAAATATCAAATCATTCCAAAATTCATACTAGTAAGAGATATAGTACAGTTAACCAATGGTTCGAGGAAAATCGTTATTGCGAAATGATAATGTTTTATTACTTACACATTTACAGCTGTAGACTATAGTTTTTTAAAACGACCAGGATAATTTTTGCTAATTGAAAAAAGGCAACTTATAATTTATAATTTTAATTTATATTATTTGTTTCCATAACTTGAACCATCTGCCACCTACAAAAATAGAGTTATTGGTTACATTTCACGAGCATCTAAGCTGTCTATTGCAATGACAATTAGTTTGATTTATAGACACTTTAAAGAAGAGAAACTCGAGTCTGAAATTTAAACTGTACCAAATTTAATTACAATGATCTATAAAAATTAAATGTTATTTATTTATTTGTGTCTAAGTTAAGTAATAGAAAAACGATTTAAATTTCATCGCCTAATTTCATTGCTTCCAGTAATTGGTAATCAGCCATATCAAAAATGAAAGGCTCGACCATTTAAAACGAAATGCCTTTTTTTGAGAGATTTCCCCATAACACAAAACCCATCGAACTGGCCGAGTCGATGAACTTCTCCGAAAGTTCTTCGCAGTCCATAAAAAGGAAAAGCTTACGAGGTGTTTGCCATGTGTCATATTCCAATGGTCCCCAACACCCGAGAGTGCCCGTATCTCGATTTGGGTATCTATTCCATTTGGCTGATGGATTTTTACGGCCTCGAACTGAGACTGCGACTGAGACTGCGGCTGAGGCAATAATGTGAATTCCTTTTCATCAGATCGGTCAATAATAATCAACAGCAGTAAAATTAAAAATACATTTACCAAATATTGAATTTCAATGTAAATAAATTTAAATTAAACAAAAACACAAAACACAATCGACGGGGCGAGCAGCACAAAGAAAACAAGAGACGGACAGATTTCGCCTGAAATCGAATAAAAAGCCAGAAATTTTGATGACTGGGAAGATTGACGGACTGCGGTGTAACGAAGTCCAATGGAAGACGTGGAAATCTCGAATAATGATGAATTAATTGAGGATAAAATGTTTCTGGCCAGGGGAACGACAGTTAAAATGAATAAAAACAGAACGGACAATCGGGCAATATAATAAAAATTATACAGTAACCAACCGCTCTCACCGGTCCAACATCAATCTAAATCTCCGTTCGGCTGTAAACGCAGCGAGTGTTTGAGAAAAGTCGCGGCCTCGGTTTCCTAGAACGGCCATAAGAACTGTTTTATGTTAATGAAGCCGCGGGGTCGCCGCACTAAATCATGCTAATGGTAAGACTCGATCGAAGACCCCCCAACCCCTTTTTGCGCCGCCGAGCTGCTGGTTAAATTGATTAATTTAATCAAAAGAGAGAGCCGGCAAAAATAGTACGGGGCTCGGTAGCCGGGAACATATTTTCGCTTAATTTCATTTCCGCTTTTGCCGGGCCATAGCACCGCCTCATACACTCAGAAATATTAAGGGTCAAAGACACCAAAAGCATTACATTTAATTTATAATCGCCAGCCAAGCAGAGTGTGTTAAAAGAAAACTTAGTTTATAAATTTTTAGTTTCTTGAAAGTTTTTACAAAGTTTTTCTTTTTAAAAAAAATTTAATTAAATTGTTTTCTTATTTTAAAAACACTGTTTAATTCACAAAGTTTAATTTACAAAAGAAAGTGAATAAGAAGTCAATTTTTTCGGTAACACAAATAAGCTTTCTCAATGTGATTATAATTGAAAAAGTCAATTTTTCCAAAACTCAATGTAAAAATTTTAACTTCAGAAAAAAACCTTTACTTTAGAGTTTTAAGAAAATTGTTTGGTTTTGTGGAATTTTTAATAAAAATAGAATTTGAAATATTAAAAAAAAACCTCATTAATAAAAAATCGTGATTTTTTCGAGTGCAGAGTGTCCAGCACTTGTTCGTTACGCCTGCCCTAGAGTGGCGCAATTTTTTATGCCACTCCGCAAAAGGGTTGCAAAAATGCCGGCGTCTTTTTTAATGCGTGTGTCACCAAATTTCATTTGGGGGTTGACGTTGACTCTCGAACATTTAACATTCAGCCGAGTTATTGATCTGAATGAGGCATTGTCAATCTTGTTTGATGCATCGCCGCGTTCAAGGGGCCCGAGATTAATATTACCCCATATTCGCGTAAAGGGTTCTGGTTCTGGTTGTGGTTCTATAGGCTTGCAAAAAGCGAATTTCCGTGTCATCTGTCAGCGGATTTGATGCGCCCTCTCAGCGCTTCGGGAATCTCGCGATTTGAGTCGCCTGTCGCCTGAGGAATATCAATCCTTTTTTAGATGTATTCTGGCTTACCTTGGATTAGCTTTTGCAGGCAGCTGTCTCTGTTGGTAAGTAACTAGTGGGACATTTTATGACAGCTCTCCACAGAAGCCCATTAAATCTGATATCTTCTTCAAAGTTTTTTTATTTGTATAGTACACAAAATAAATGTTAGTTTATGGTTCATCAAAATAAACTTAAATATATAATTTATTAAGCTAGGCACAATTTATATTCCTCTTATAAACTTATACACATTCGTACAATAAATAAATAAAATATGTAGGTTTGTGGATCGGCAAATTAGTTTATAGCATGAATCAGTTATATAAAAGACAATTTAAATATGTAATTTGTTAACTAATAGTAAATATAAAAATTACTTTCATAAACTAATAAATATCCAGAAAGGGGTGTGCTTGAAAGGGTTTGTTTCCTGCCAAAACTAATAAACAAAACGTTCAGAAATGACAACTGTTTGTTGTAACAAAATATGTTCCCCGCTCTATATTTCTTTTGGCTTCCACTCATAACTTCTGCACATTTTTCCATTTCCAACTATTTGTGTGTTCAAGTAATTCAGTTTCAGAGCCTTCGTCTTTCACAAATGCATAAATTGTTGGGCACCCACTTGAGGACTTCGGTGGCCACGTTCTGTTCCTATCTCATTTAGTTTCCAGTTGTTTGGACTCAACACATTTGTAACAATATTTGGGAACTAATTTTAGACGCCGACTCGCTGCGAATTGACAGTTGGAAATATTTTGGGACAGATTTTTGACGTGCGCCCGTGATTTGTCATTGACATCATTATACGGATTCGGCGGATCGGATCGGTTCGGATCGGATCGGATCTCCCCCAGGAAAGTGGCAGACAAACGGGCTGCAGCACTTCAGAGCGGTGCAGGGCACTTCATTTGTGCGCCGCTTGGAAAAACAAAGCGGAAAAGCTGAAAGAGGGAGCTGGTTCGTCATGCGCCATGCGTCGCCACATTTTCTAATTGATTTTAAAATGTTTCAGTTCGGATAAATAATTGCGTTTTTGACATTCCCCTCCCCGTGCCCTACCCCACTTGCCACCGAAATATGGAATATTCGGCCTAAAATTCAGAGGGGACGAGGGAACGATCCCATCGAGACTTATCTTAATTGCGCTCCAGACGCTGGCGCATGAAGCATCGGTAAGCTTATGGCGCGCTCCTAGTATATTACAATAATTTAATTTATGTTTGCTATTTATTATTTTCTAAATTGTTTTGGAACGTGCCGCCGCCGTTCGTCTCTTGCCTCCAATAAATTTGGCCCTCTAACGATCTTATCCTATTTTTGGACGAAGCTTTGCCACGGCCACACTGTGTGATCCATGTTAATGTCCCGGTCTGGTTCCCCAAAAATATTAGGCGACTAATCCTTTGCCTCCATTCAATAGATGCTTTTACGTGCCGGTTAATGCGTTGGCGGGTTAAATTCGAGCATTCCAAATTAGCCTTATGAGGGGTTATTAATGCCGTAGGATGAGGCGAAATGACTAATTAACTCGGAGACCGCGGATTTATTCTGGTGAAGATATTTCTTGGTTATTTTTAGGCTCAAACTGAATGCGTTACCCATGACCCTGGGATGATTTCATGGCAATTTGTGTTATAAAATTAAAATGTTAGTTGAAATAAATATAAATCTCAGATTTAAAAATAAATGTAATTATTCAAATCTATTGAGACTTAAATCCTGAAAATATTTTGAATTCTATGTGTTTTTAAGTTAATGAAAACAAAACTTTTAATATTAAAATAACACCAACGAACCAAATATTAAAACTAGGGCTTTGAAATTATTATTGCAAAGCAAACTATTAGATATTATTTTGTGGTGATTCAACAAGTAAACATAATAATTAGTAAAACCTATAAAACTATTCTGTCAACCAATTTGAATATAAAAAGTGTTGTAAATTTGACTTCAGAATATAAACCAAAAGCACCACGTTAAGTCTCAACCCTGAGAATTTTTCACGGATCTATGGCAAACAGTCGGCCACTTACCTGATGCTCAAATTTAAACATTTGCTGAAAATTCAAGGGGAGGACCGGAGGCATCGAATTGCAACGGATCGACTTTGATATCGATTTGGGGATGTTTTAGAGTCCAACCAACGCCTCGGAAGGGAAGGAAAGCTGGAATCGAGCAGTTTGTTGACCCAGGCGCGGAATTCCGGGGAGAAGACTCAATTGCCACCAGCGACACTTTACACCAGGCTTCCATGTTTACACGCCAGCCTCGAATTGTTGCAGGCTGCATTCGGGAAAAGAGAAAAGGAAAGCGGAGAAAGTGACTCCACTTGAAATGGATTTGAAATGGAAATGGAGGGCCAACAGATGTGTTTCTTTGGGGAAAGATATTTTCATAAATGCTCCCGAGCTGCTGTAGGTTTCATATGTTTTATAACGCCTGACAGGGGGACATTTCAGTGGATTTGTTAACATTTTCTAAATCTTATTTATAATTGTTTTTTTAAGCAAGTAAATGTTTAAATTTTTGATTTTTGGAGATTAGTTTTTGTGGGAAAATAAAAAGATAATTTCCTAGCTCAAGCTAAAAACTTATCTGAGTTAAACATCTAATTGGCTTTCTTTGAGATAAATTAATTTCTGTTTTTATGCGTGTATTTTTAAAGTGAAATTTAAACCTTTTGAAATTTAAAATTGTGTTTAAAGTTTTTTAATTTTATTTCTAGAAGCACGAGCATTAAATAATCAGATTCGGATAATCAGAACCCCCTTTCAACCGGTTCAAAAAACCCTCTTTCGTTTGTGAACTCAGTCTTGGTTTTAGTGTTTAGAAATAAATATCTTTATAAAAATGCTAATCAAAAGTAATTTCCCCAATTCTAGTTTAAAATATTGCTGTCTTATTATATTTTCATTTTTATGTTTATAAATATTTATTCTTAAAATAATGGCAGTGAAATCGTCATCGCAAATAAAGTGTGAACTTTATATTGCTTCCGTTGTGTGCGGCATTCCCTTCATAATTTCACATTAGTGTGCAAATCTGCGTGGGCAAATCCCTCGTCCTCGACTGGGAAAATATTTACACTACAAGCAAATCATTTCATAACATCTTCGGCGGATGGGGCAATGTAAACATAACGCCTTCCTGCCACGTGCCACGAGTCGGGGTCCCATTTACATTAACCCTCGGCCAACAACATTGGCTAACATATTAATAAACGAAATCGCTCATAAAATTATAGCAACACCGACTGGCAGCAACCCCCTTTTTTTCTGTTCGCACATTGTCAAGGAGTCAGAAGGGTGGTGACGAGCGGAACGCCCAGCAACCCCGCGAATTATGAAATTATTTTCCATAATGAGGGTTTTTCCTATTTTTCCCCCTCAACGTTTTGTCTCGATTCTGATTCTGATTCCGATTCCGATCAAATCATATTCATACTCGCCGGCCGGAAAATGTTGGTCGCGTGCCGCTATTTAGCGTCGATTATCCTGCCAGCATATGCCCCATGTCTGGGTGTCTGTCTGCGACTTCGGCATCCTGTCTGGAGTCCTTCTATGTCCTTTTATCCGCTGTCAGCGCCGCCTGCCCCGCCCCAAAAAGATGATTTCTCGCTTCCGGAAGGAGACATGAGTCCGCCAAAAACGGAAGCGTTTCGATCTTTTCGGGCAGATTGGGTGTCAGTTTGGTTGCGGAAATGTTGTGCACATTGGCTGGTAGCTTTTGACTCGGTCGAGCATTAGAGCACCCAATTTCTCCCGTTTTTGACAAGGGAATGCGATTGGCATGAGTCAGGGATACATATAAAATCGATAACTTGCTGAACACATTAATCATGAAATCGTTATTTAATAAAACTTTGTGACACATTTTTAATGTATAGTATAGAAATGAGTGAGCATTACTAGTGGCATTAGCACACTCTTGTAATAAGAGCTTTCAAAAATGAATACAATCCATAATTTTGAATTCTTAGAGTACGGAACAATGTAAAAGACATTCACAATTAATGTTAAACTATATAAAATAGTTTATATAATTTTATTAGGCTCCTTCTGGTATTAAAAATGAAATATTATAAAATATTTAACATAAAACCATCAGTGTTTAAAATTCGTACTTTAAATCAAACTCTAGAGCCATAAATAAGTGATTATTCAGTTTTGACAAGTTAAATAGTACCATAATTTTAAATAGCAAGGTATCCGTTAAGTTCGTAGCAAGATAAAAGACAAAGCATTTATAGAACCCGATTGTTTTTTTTTTTTGCTAAAAATAAATAAATTTTTTTGCGATAAATAAATATAAATAATGTTTTAAGGATAGGTCATGCTACATCCCTTTACCTTTTAAGTATAGGATCAATTTAATAGGCAAAATATTTATAAGCCCCGATTCGCTCCGCTCAGCGGACAGTCGACTTCGGAACCGCCCCTCGAAAACGGATTGCGATGACCTCGGGAAATTGCCAGAACGGCAACTCATCAATTTCCATTGTGCCGGACAGCCTTGGGCAGACACTCCTTTGCTTAACCGATCCCACGCAAAAGGATGGCACAATTTCACGCTCAAACATTGAGAAATGATGGGTGTCAATATTTGCATATCATTTGCCAGTGCCGATGCCGAATCGTGATCGGTGCGTGACGGATGCGATTCCTTCCCGGAAGGAGCGAGGATCGCTGGCAGATAAGCCGAAGGAAAACGCAACGCCCACGGGCAAATCCTTTGCCAACAAAAGGGTAATGGCTGCAAATCCGACGCGCCATATGCAAATCCGCCCACGACGATATAAGCAGGGCTCTCGAGCCGTGCTTAATTAGTACGCAAAATATTTGCCTTAATTGTCGCAAAACAAGCGGGATGACAAGAAGGATGTGTAATCCCTTCGATCGGATTTTCCGGTCAGCTCTTTGCTGCCCTGCTGCCCTGCTTCCCAGCTTACTACCTGCTGCTGCCCAGAGGTTTGCACTAATTTTCGCGCATGATCCTGCGGATCAGGGAGCGATTCCGGTGATTGATCCTGTTTGGAACGATGTGCGGTGACCCGAAAGAAAGAGCGCAGATCTCTGTGCCATTGTGCCAGCTCCTTTCAGGCCGTGCAATCCATCGATCGCCGATCTCCAGCCGGGCGGGCGGCTTACAAGGAGCAGGGACAATTGCCGGGGCGTTGCTATTGAGACAGTTTACAGGACACTTAGCTCGGCTTAGCCGCTCCGCACTGCGCCCAAGGTGGATCGCAATACGAAATTGATTTGTCAGCCAACCGCATGGCCAGCTAAGGTATTCCATTGACCACCTACCTACGAGCAGGTCCTCGAGTTTGGGAACGAACGAGCAAACGAACTACCGCAGAGCGATTGGCATCTCTCTGACAACTTCAATCAATTAAACTTTTATAATGCTCCGCATGGAAAATATTTGCCATGCCAGCAGCAAAAACGACGAAAAAATACTACTTTGCGGACAGTTTGAGTGGCGTCTGCAGGACCAGTTTAGGATTTACACTGAGAAAGTATGTATTTTATAGCCTTTCTTACAAGCTTCGTTGATGTATTAAAACATTTCAATTCAATTAAAAAACCTCAGAAAAAATTGATTTAAATGGAAATTCAATTCTTAAAAAAACTAATCTAAACCTAACCTAAACCTAATCTAACCTAAAACTAATTAACGAAGAATTCTAATTTAATATAAATAAGATGAATTCCAATTTTTATTGATAATGTATATATTTTTAATGTGAATCTAAAAAAAAAAACATTACCCCTTTTACCCATTTTAAAAAACATATTTTAAGAATATCTTACAGCATCATGTCTTTATAATGAAATTAAGTGAGGTCCATTTTTAGTCTTCATGTTAATCTAAAAATAGTTTAAAAGCTGCCAAATCCTATACGCATTCTCACCTATTTTTATTGAATTGAATAAAAAACAATTAATATTTATTAATATGCAAGTTTTCACAATAATTTTAAATTAAAAAATATAATATATAAATAAAACTTGCATTTTTTCAAAACAAAAATGTTTTTCAAATTTGTAAAGTATCTATATTGTATAAAATATATGGTTGGCTTACCTTACAGCTCATCCCCGTTTTTTTGAGTGCTTGTGCGACTTAAGCCGCCGTTGGTAATTAAAATTTCAGCTAATATATTGGAGTTGAACCTCGGTTTTTTTGGGACCAGCGTGCGACAAGCATATGACAGTTTGACAAACGGCAGACAGCCGCTGACGAACCAGCCTCCTTCATATATGTAGTTTCCCACTCCAACTGGCAACATTAAAAGATGCTTTCTGGAATCCCGCGAATGTCCATTGGATGGGGACAAAAATCATATTAAGACGGGCACATTATAAAAGACATCAAGCATGCCTAACCAAATGGAGGTAGTGTCCTCCATCTCCGCTGGCATAACTTATTAAAAAGCAGCAGCATTGGAGCACAAAAAAAGGGAAAACGCCAGAAATTACTGCTGAGAAATGCCCGAAAATTGTCTGGACGAAGGAACCGCCTAAGCGCCACTTGGACAACGGGTTTCGAGGAATCTCCCGTGGACTGAAGTGGGCTCTAAGGGGCTAAGAGGGTGGCCCAAAAGAAGAACCTCTTTCTGCACTGGGC